ATTAAATTTTGAAAAAATGCTAGAAATGAGGACTTTATGTTCTGGATTTCCTTTATTTGCAATATTTCTTGGTCGAAAACGAATGTCAATTTTAAAAAAATGTAAAAAAATAATTAAAAAAGTAGACAAATTATTTAATAAATTTAATTTAAAATTTGAATCGAATTTTGAAATTGGTGAAAATAATGAAATAATAATTAAAGAGGAAAATATTGAAGAGGGGGAAGACAATTTTAATAAAATTATAGAGAAACAATTAAATACTCCAAAAATTGGAAAATTTAGAAAATTTTATAAGAAAATATACAAATTTTGTATTATTCTGTTTTGATGGATGGAAAATAAAATTAATTTTTTAATTAATAATTATAAACACATAGAATACTTTTCTCTGATAAAATATTTATTAAATTATGTACAAATTTTAAAATTATTTATAACATTAATTAATAACGTCCAGGCCGGTATTCGAGTTAATTTTTTGAGAATGTTTTTTCAGACTGTATATTTTTTGTTCTGAACCTAAACCTTAAAGAAGCACTCATCTTAATTAAAATTCTCATATTTGGATAATAATCGAACTAATGATTTCAGCTAGCTTGTAAAATTTTGTAAAGTTTGATAAGTTTTTGAATTTTCGGAGACATGAAAGAAGAGATAAGAAAAAAGACACACACATAATTTTGTCTTTTATTTTATTCTGTCGCAGGACGCAAAACGAATAAAGCATATCGTATATCCTTTAATAACTAATTATTATTTCGACCTTCCGCTGGAGGGGGTAAATAATCGAGGGAGGGTAATTATATGAGGTTTGAAATTTGATGGGGTTAATTATTGTTTCAATCTATCGATCGATGGAGTAATTAATGGAAGTGGGGTAATTATTTGATGGAGGGCAATTAATACAAGTTATACGGTAGCCTTATTTCATAACTTATACAAAATAAAAAAATGTTTTGATAAATGGAAATTGAAAGAAAAATAATTTTTTAATAACTCAATTAAGTTTTTTTCTCTGATTTTGCTAAATAACAAATTTTATATAAATTTTATCTTATTAATTGAATACTAGGATTCTTTCGGTAGCTCTTTCATGCAAAATTTCTAAAAAAATAGCCGATTCTTTGATAATTTGTTTGTTATGTAAACAATATTTCCTCAATAAACTAAATCTAAACAATAGTTTAGCTCCGTGAAAAACAATCCTGCAGCATTTTTAACATTGAGATACCTCCGGATCCGGGGTAGCGTTAGTCTCGTACATATCTCGTCAAATCTCGTGTTTTTAGAAATCTTGTATATCTCGTTCTTTTATTTTTTGAGAATCTCGTGTCTCGATTTGTGGCACTTGCGCCAACTCTGCTCCGAACATTAGACTCACAACCTAGCAAGTTCCTAGCACATATCCAAAGTTGAACAAATAAATTTTTATTTTTTATTTGATTTTATTAATTAAGGCGTTTTTCTCTTTAAATTCATAAACTTCCTCATTTTTCAAAATTTATCAGAATTTTGTTTTTCCCACATTATTCAAAAATTATATGAGTATTTCATGTCCGAGGGTTGTCCGATGTTGACGTGCGAATGAATAACAGTTTATCCAATGTTGAAATTAACAATGAAGGCGAAGGCATGGAAGAGCTGGACAGACGGCGGAGATCAGTGACTAGCCCAGCTAGTATGATCCCCCTGAGACAGATACTTTCATTGGCTTTTTTTTCTTCATCGAACACAAATAAATAAAATGTGAAACAATAAAATAAAACTCCTGGATCCACAGGGATCACATATGAAGAGGTTTATTACAATAGCGATACCACTACAATATTTGATTACCGATAATTTTATATTATTTAAATTAAATTATTTAAATTAAATCAATTTCTCGACGATTAAAGAGTATTGACGTCTGTTGATTAATCGTCGAGGCTATAAAAAAGGATAAACAGACAAGCATGCGCTTCTCACCTGAGTGTCTTTATCCCCCCTCCTCCTCCCGACTTTTATAAAATAATAAAAAATCGTATGAGAGCGAATAAAAATTTTTAAATAAAAACAACTTCATTAAAGACTAGCTAAACCCCCCCCCCCACTAACAAGTCTGTAAACGAGAAATAATGTCTAAAATATTTTTCTTGTTGCTTCTAATTTCAATTTATTTTTTATTTAAACAAACTAGAGGAGATGATTATAGACAATATATTACAGAAATGAAGAATTATTTGAATCAAGAAGAAGGATTGAAAGAAAAATTAGCGGAGAATTTTCGAATTGAAGTTGATAAAATTGAAAAAATGAATAAATTAGTTTTGAAATTTTTGGATAATCATGAAAAATTTAAAATTTTGAAGGAATTTTTGGATGAAAAATTAAAAGATGAACAACACTCTGATGTGGATAAAGCTAAATTGACGGTAATTAGAATATTATTTTAGTTTTTTGGGATAGAATTTGTTATGACCTCGCTAACGTAGACGACCACAAACAGATAGGATTACAATTTAAACAGAAAACTAAGTCAATAATAAAAATTAAATAAATTTTACGGGAATAGGCCAACTTACCGCGAGCCCAACTTACCGCAAAGATATAACTTCGTTTCAAATTGTCGAATCCTGGAGGCCCTGGTATGGTTCGATTCAGCTCGTTGAGGCGCATCGAACAATACCAGGGCCTCCCGGATTCGACAATTTTGAACAAAGTTATATCAGTGACCACCCCGCTAGTATGATCCAACTAGACTGACGCTTACTGTTGCGTATTGGTGTACGGATAGTATAAAAGCCAGTGTAAGCATCAGTCTAAGTGGACCATACTAGCGGGGCTAGTCACACTGATCTCAGCCGTCTGTTCCAGCTCTCTTTCCACCTTCGTCTACACATTGTTATTTTCTACACCAGATAAACTGTTATTCTCTTGCACGTCGACTTTAGTTAAATCTCGGTCAACCCTCGGAAACACACTGACTTTTATACTATCCTAACACCATTACACAATAGAATTTTTTAAATTATATAGAAAAACATTTATAGTTTTCAGGCTTTGAGTTGCTCTCATATAAATTTTGGTACTTTGTTCATATTCCGCCCCCACCCCTATTTGAGTCTCAGATTAATTTTCCTTCCTTGCTGTCAATCATTTATTTTCCTCATTTTTTAATGCCAATCATTTTCTTCCATCAAATATAGGACACCCAAAAGGGCGCGCGTCCATAACGGCGCAAAGCTTAACTTGCTTCAAGATTTTCGAACCTTACCAAAATTAATATTAAAAGATTCATTTCAACGAGCTAAAGAGATTGATAACAAAAATGACAAGGGCCAAAAATATTCCAACAAGTTATGGCTTTGCGCCGTTATGGACTCGCGCCCTTTTGAATGTCCTATATGTGAAGGAAGAAAATGATTGGCATTAAAAAAGAAGGAGAAAAAAAATTGACAGCAAGGAAGGAAAAATTAATCTGAGACTCAATTAGGGATGGGGGGCGGGATATGAACAAAGTACCTAAATTTTTATTATTTTAATTTTCAGATGTTAATAGAATCATTGACAAATTTGGAGGAACAGAATTATGTAAAAATTCTTAAACTTCGAAGTCTTTGTTCGGGATCTGAATATTTTTGCCCTTCTAAAAATTTAGAAAAATGTTGTAAAGAATTTAGCGAATATGCAGACAAATTACTCAAAAAACTTAAAATAAAATTTTTGAAAGGTTTTAAAATAAATAGTAAATTAGGAATAATAGTTATGGATTTTGAAAATGAAGAGAATAAAAAAATGCTTAAAAACATTCTGGAACACCAATTGCTTGTTAAAAATGACGAAGATAAGGAAAAGAAAAATAAAGGAAAGTGGACATTAACACGCCTCAATTCATTTTTTGGTAGCTCAAGCTACCGTGAGGAAACGCCGTCCGATTAGAAATTGGAGAGTCAAAAGACTGTAGCACTAAAACACGTCCTTTTTTGAATTTTTTAAATTTTTTTTAAAAAGCATTGGCAATCCAGGAAAATTGGGGGGTTTTACCATAGAAAAATATTTTTTTTTGTTTTTAAAATTTTTTTCGCAGGGACCCCAATCCGGGATTGCCAAAGCATTTATGTAGCATACATTTTACCACTAGATTCCCGAAAATTTATTTTTTATGTCGACTAGATCACTGGTATGATATTCATAAATTGTTATTTCTTGTAATTTTTCTCTTTCTTTTCAATGAAATTTCTCTTCAATTTTTTCCAAACATTGGATATGTTAGCATTTTGTTGATTTTTATTTTATTTCGCATTTGTCGGCATCCATTTTGTAGCCTTTATAGATAAAAGCGGTGACAGAGAAATAGCACGCATACGAGAGAGAATGTTTTAAAGTTTATTTAATCGGGTAAGGGACAAATCACCGTCTGACCAAAATACCGTTTGGACGCCAGAGTAGAAAATACCATCCATTTTTACAGATAACAAATTCGATTTATGTCGATATTATGTTATTTTAATATCCTTTGGGGAACTTATGCAGTTTGGGTACACACCCCATTTATTCGCAAGATACACCCGCATTTATTAGGCGAATTGACTAGACAACCCGATTATTCGCGAGCTAGCAAGAAGCCTATATTACATAGTACTAAACAAAGCAGCTCTCGACTTGCGAGTCGTGTGCTGGTTAACACCGCACGATGCGAGGAATTATGCCCAAGCGCTTTTCCGGCCTACATAAGGTTACTTAGACCATTTTTAGCTTGCGAATAAATGGGGTGTGTACCCAAACTGCATAAGTTCCATCTTTGGATTATACGGCTATTGGTCTTGATTAGCCCTTATCTTGAAAGGCTAAAAAATTTTAGCTCTAAGCGAGATGGACGGGTATTTTATACTTTAGTGGGTAGACGGTATTTTGTCTGGACGGCGATTTGTCTTGACACGATTTTGCATTTTAATTTTTAACTTTTAATTTATTTGGGTTTGTTTGCCCTTTAATTTTACGTAGTTTTTTTAAACTTTTTATTGTCTAGATAAATTTATTTTTGGAGTTAAAAAAAATTCTCGTAAAATTATGGAAGAATCTTCTCATATATTGACGTCTTCTGACGATAAACAAAATCATTTGGGTGTAGAAAAATCCCCAAAGAAAAGGGAGAATGTCGTCCCAAGTTCTCACAATTCTTCGACATCTTCAAGTGTAGCAGAAGAAACACTTAGCCAAGTAAATCCGTCAATTTCGGATCCGACAACTGATTTAACGGAAGAGGATATTTTCCGAATGAAGAGTATGAGCATTGATAGAGATAAATGGAAAAATGGTTTTTTATTTTTAATTCAGAGGGGAGGGGGGTTGTTTATATTTGCTTTTTGTTTACTAGACTTATTCTCCTATTCCTTGAAATGTGATTTTGAGGATTTCAGCTAGGATTACAGAGATCGGTATTTTTGAAAAGCCTGGGCCTGTTCCTGGACTCTGGGTTTGATTTATTGACCTTGGCCGGATACTGGGCCTGTAGTCCAGGAAAAACCCAGGTCCAGGAAAACCCCCAGGAATGTCATAAAATGCCTGGGCCTGGACTCTGTGTACAAGAAAAACCACAGGCCTTGGCCCAGATCCAGGCCGATATCTATAGGATTCTACTTCATTTTCATTTACTCGTCGTTTCCTCAATCATTCTTGAAGGAATCATTGTCCAATACCTATTATTTTGTAAAATTTCCCTTTCACCATTTACTGAACTTAAAATTAGAGACCGGGTTGAGACGAGATCTCGATCGAAAATCTCGGTTATCTAGAACGAGAACTTTTCGAGATCTAGATTCTTGTACGACACTCCCAGTCCGGTGTCTACTTAAAATTATCCTTCATTCTATTATTAGGTCCAGCAGCAAGCGAATATCAATCAGCAATTTCCCTCGTTGATTCAGCCAGCAATTATATTGAAGAAGACCGCGAAGTTGACGAAGAAGAGGTTGATGTAACTGAAGGGTTGCTTCCTGATCAAATGGTGCCCGTGCAGCGGTCAATGTCTTATGCTGATGCAGTTAAGAGAGCAACACATCATGAACAGTCGGGGAAGGTTTTTAGTTTAATTTTGAATTTTTAGGAAAGGTTTAGGGGTTTTTCGTGGTTAGCTACTATGCAAGGGCACGCCCAAAACGGCGCGCGGTGATAATAGCGCAAAGCCATAACTCGCTCCAAAATTTACTAATATTAACAGATTATTAAATTTTTTAAATTTTATCTATTAAGGTATTTCTCTTTGATGGTTATGCATTTTCTAAGAACACAGATCCTGCAATATTATCGCATCTTAACCAGAAAACAGGTTTTTTTAACTAACCTTCTTTTAAATACTAATTTCTTTTCCTTTTTTAGTCAGCACCCTTCAATACCCATTTGAGCCTGTCAATATACCCCCTGATTTTGATCTGGTAGAATATCGACGTGCATTTTCTCAAGCGAAGGTTTCTGTTTTTTGTATTCCTTAAAGTTTGGTGGAGACTGGGTTTGCAGGCATTTTTTTATTTATATGTATTAGGCTCTCCAGAATGGACCGATTTGTACATGTAGATCGAGTCGGCTGGTACGAGTGACTCGTACCAGCCGACTCGAAAACGACAACCCTAATATATATCATTGAAATCGTTCTTACAATTATAACGGCTTATATTTTTAAAAATTTGACGGTATAACTTTCCTTATGGGGTCCTGGGCCAAAAAATCATAAAACTATAATATGTTTTCGACCCTGCTTTACACGATGGTGCTAAAAAATACAAAATTTTCACTATACAGTTCGGAATGTTCCCTTGTTAGAAAACCCTTTTTTGAATTCTTTTTTGACTTGAAGACGTACACATAAAATTGATTTGTTTGTACGTGTTTTCTTTTCTTATTTCTTTATTGATTCTTCCTATTTTTCAGATTTTTTTTTCATTTTTGTCAGCTCTGTCGTGTCGGGCTAAAACACGGAATACTTTTAAAATATATTTTTTAAAAATTAGAATTTATTTAAATCAGAATATTCTTAAAAATAATCCTGAAAAATTCTGATTTTTTAAAATATTCTCTAGACCGTGTTTTGTTCGTTCGTGATTTGGCCATTCCGTTTTTTGCCCCTCACCCAGCTTTTTAACCCCCTCTTATTATTAATTTTTCAAACTTTAATGATTTATTTAAAATCATTTTTTGTTAGGTTTATCTTGTGGGTACTGCACATTTCAGCAAAGAAAGTTGCGAAGATGTTTGTAAAACTGTGCAATTAACCCAACCAGATTTTGTCATGGTTTTTTGTTTCTTTTTAATTAAAAAGAATTTTTTTAAAAAGGTTGAACTTTGCTCTTCCCGTATTCAAATACTCTCAATGGATGAAGATACATTGTTGAAAGAAGCAGCGGCTTTAACTAAAAAGAAAATGTTGGAAATTGTTCGACAGGTTTAAACTTTCGATTTTTTATTTTTTAATTAGTTTTTTCGGCCTGCTACCTTGAATTTTCTAAGAATTCTTTTGGAGTTTCTGAATCGCCTTTACCCCTTGGATGTTACGAGTTATTCGATATCTGAAGCCCGGACTTTTTTCTAACTTTCCGTTGAAAATTTTGAAAACTCCAATTCGAAATCCGTCCCAACTTTTTCTTTCTTGTATGCCTTTTAAAATTGTTCACTGATGATTTTTCTTTTTTTTTTATTCAAACAATATTTTCGAACCTTAAGGAGTACGGATAATCGAGTATTCGTCCTTCGGGTTTTATTTTATTGGTACTTATTCCAAGGGCGTGGCCAGGAAGTTGATTTCAGGGGGGCTAAAATGAAATGTGCGCCAAAATTTTGGCGTTTACTTTGGCGTTGTAGGCGTAAAAGATTTACTTTTCTGACCATTTCCCTCCTAAAATTTTTTCATTTTCCTCATTTCAGGGGGGGGGGCTATAGCCCCAGAAGCCCCCCCCTCCTCTGGCTACGCCCTTGACTTATTCCCATGAGCAGAGAAGTTTGCGGTTACACCACTCTTTAAAGAATTTTTCCTGATTTTTAAACTAAAAAGTTGTTTTTTTTCTGTTTAGCACGGCGCAGCTCAAGGTTTAATGCAAGTTTTGCTTCTCTCATTATCTGCCCATATTACCCAACAACTCGAAATGGCACCTGGCGGCGAATTCCGAGCAGCTTACAATGCTTCTAAACTTGTTAGTGGATGTCAGCTTGTTTTGGGTGATCGTCCTTTGCATATTACCTTGAAAAGGGCTCTGAGTTCGCTGAACATTTTTCAGAAAATGAAATTCTTTTTCCATCTACTTGTATCGTTGCGAATGGATATAAAGTTTGTTTACATGAAAAAATTTATAATGTTTTTTACCAGAGCCATTTACCAGGGATTTGGCACAGAAAGGGGTCGAAAATTTTAGTTTTAGCGGCGAAGTTGAAAATTTTTGAATTTTGAAGTCTAATTGTGAGATGCCACATTTTTTCGTTTTTCAGTGCCAAAGACAAAAATTTTTAGTGCTGGAATAATTCTTTTTTTTCCTTAATCCCTTATCCAATTTTTTTTCTTTTTTCCATTTTGGGGGGGGGGGGGGATTCACCTCTGGTTAAGGCTCTGTTTTTTACATTCTCAATCATTTAAAATTCTTCGATTTATTTTTCGAGCTGTTTGTCCTTGAACAGAAAATTTTTTTTAATTGTTTTTGTTTGCTGGAAATCCCCGTCTCATTTTTCACTTTTGAATGAAAATTTCGTTTTTCGAAAAATCCTAATTTTTCCTTTTAAGAAGATCTCGGATTTTTAACATAAAATTTTACTTCAAATAAATTTTAGGCAAGAGGACGTTGAGAGATGCAAAAATAACGATATTTTGGAAGAACTCCTTCAAGAAATGGCTGGCGAATACCCACAAGTTTCCCGTATTTTAGTCGATGAACGAGACCAGTAAATTATTTTAAAGATTTAATATTTTTATTTTTCTCAATTTAAAGGTATATGACACAAGTTTTGCATCATCTTTTACAACGTGGAACGGTCGAGAAACTTTGTGCTAGCAAAAAATGTCGAGGTAATTTTTAAAATTTTTTTAAAAATGATTTTAATTTTGTAGCCACATTTGAACCATTAACAATTGTTGCGGTTGTTGGAATGGGGCATGTTAAAGGAATTCATGCAAATTGGCCAAAACCTATCGATTCAGCTGCTTTGCTGACGTAAATAATTTTTGTTTAAAAATTTGAGTAATAAGTAGAATAGAAAATTAAATTATTTTTACAATAACAAGGAAATTAAACATTAATTTGTAAGGTCATTTAGGTTCTAAAGACTAGAAAAATGTCCGTAGAAAGCCTTCATCAGAAAATTAAATCTTCATTAGGTTTAGGGTTGCCGGCCCGTCTGGTCCGAATGATCGAGTAGGGCATCGAATTTTGTCTCGAACAAGACTCGGTCGGCCCGAGATGAAAACGGCAACCCTAATTAGTTTATTGATTCCTTAAGCAGAATTTAATTTTTATTTATAAGAGAATCATAACAAATTCTGTTCATTAATAGGATTACAATTTAAACAGAAAACTAAGTCAATAATAAAAATTAAATAAATTTTACGGGAATAGGCCAACTTACCGCGAGCCCAACTTACCGCAAAGATATAACTTCGTTCAGAATTGTCGAATCCGGGATGCCCTGATATGGTTCGCTGCGCCTCGACGAGCTGGACCAAAGCATACCAGATTGTCCCGGATTCAAAATATTGAACGAAGTTATATCTTTGCGATAGGGGGTGTACCCAAATTTTAGATTGCTTAAATTTTTTCCAATTTTTATTTTAAACATTAATTCTCTTTCAATTTTTAAGTATTCCACCTCCTTCACTGAGCAGCCGAGTAGTAAACACAAGTGTACGCTTTGCTTTTTATGGAAGTATTCTTGCCATTGCATTTTTTGCTGGCCGTAAAATCTTCAAAGTTATTGAGCCTCGTTTGCCGCAAATTAACTTCAAAATTTTTGTTTGATGGGAATTTTGGATTAAATTAAATAAACGAAACTCTGGTGGTTGGATTATACATATATTGCCAATATTTTGGGATATTCCCCTCTCTTTAATTTTATCCTTTCCTTCTCTTTCCTATTTTAATCAATTTGTTCAAATTTTGGATTTAAATAGTAACTGGAAAAATAATTAAGATAATAAGTTTGATAAAAAATTTTTTTCTTTGCTTAAATTAAAATTTCCTTCACTAAAAGTTGTCACAAAGATATTGTTATTATTTTGCAATTTATTTAAATTAGTATCTGACCGGGACCGATAAAATTTTTCTTCCCTAAAAATTGTCACAAAAATATTGCTATTATTTTGCAATTTATTTAAATATTTGACCGGGAAACCACCTAAATAAAATTGACATTACTCAGAATTTGTGTTATTTTCTTGTATTATTAAAAATGTATTTTTACAAGATAAATATTCTAAAAATTAAGAAACGTTTTTTTTCTTGTTTTCTGGGAGAATTAAAAGTAAAATAATAGGCACCTCAAGCAAAAATTAACTGGTCGTGAACAGCCCGAGTTAATTAAAAATTATTTTAAAAATTACGGAAAGATGAAAGGGACGACATGTATTTTAACCTCTAAGTTTTTAAAAAATACCATGGGCTTTAAGGTTTAAAAAAATTTAAATAAATAGCTCGTTAACACTAGAAATTTAACAAAAAATTAAAAAAATTTTTTCTAACCTTTATTTCTTTAACTTATAAAACGTTAATTTTCTAAATTTGAAATGCTAGAAATTAATAGAATGAAAGACGTTTTGTCGATTTTTTATTCCTCCTGATTATTATATTTCTCATCCACGGGTGGGGGCTCCAATCCGGCTTCTCTCTTCTTTTTGCCTCCGTAGTAGCTATATCTAAAAAAATATTTAAATTTAAGAAACATTTATTGTTGCCTTACGGATAGTATCCACCCATTCCGTACATACTACCAAGACCGCCGTACATTCCATATCCTCCAAGGCCTCCATATCCACCATATCCCATACCTCCATAACCCATTCCATATCCTCCATAACCCATGCCATACATTGAACCTAAGCCACCTGAAAAATAATGTATTAATGGATTGTTTAACTTTTATTTTTGTTTATGCTTATCTTATGACCCGGAACCGCTCATGCCAAATCTGTTATGTCCGATGGTTGTCCGAGTTTTATCAATGTTGACGTGCACAAGAATAAATATTTATCCGATGTAGAAAAGTACTACAATGTAGGCGAAGAGGCTGGAACAGACGAAGGAGATGAGCGAGGCCGGGCTTTTATACTATAGTGACACCACTACTTAACAAAGTCGATTCGCCACGGAACCCAAAAGGGTTTCCTTTGTTAGGGAGGGAATTCGTCAATTAAAATCGAACCACCTTTCTAATTTAAAGAAACTAACCATATAACCCTCCCATTCCACCATACATTCCTCCATACATACTATACGGACTGTACATGCTGTATAATGATGAATAATAAGGGTAATAATAAAATGCCTGGCTTTGTTGTAAGGTTAATGCAAGTAGAATAAAGGGGATGAATATTGAATAGGATTCAAGCCTCATTTTCAAGTTTAGCTAAATTTTCTTAAAGGTGGGATGAAATGTCATTTTATTTTTTAAAATCTTTTGGGTTGGAATTGATTGAAAATAATAATTTTATCGGATAATGTTAAACGAATTAATAAAATATTTTTCCAACATGGCAGCAAAAAATCCATAGAATTACATATTATTTATTGTTCAATATGTACAAACATTGTGTAATTCATTAATTAAAATTAATAAACGCGTACGAATTGGGAAACAAAAATGTTTAAAAAAACCCCTCAAAATCATTCTCTCTTATTAAATAATTTAATAGCTTAAATAATAAAAAAATTATTTTAAACGAAATGACGTTGTTCTTTTTAAATTTTTAATTAAATTTTAATAAATTCATAATTCTGAACAACATATGTACTTATGTTAGCTCTATATAGAAGGCTTTCGGTTCTTGAAAAATTTTTGGATATCTGGAACCAGAAACTTTTTACTAAATTTTAAGGAGATTAACAACCCTAAACCCCCTCATTTTCTGAAGAACTGAACAGTAACTCCTTAGTTCTAGAGTTTAGTTCCAAACCGACTGCTTATTAACATGCATAAACTTCATAAAGAAACAACTACCAAGCAGAGTTGCTTAAAGTAAAAAATTCCAATTAGGAAAAATCTTATTAGACCTTAGAAACTCAACGGAAAATTTTTCTTTTTTTATTAGAAAATTTTCTATTATTAAAAAACTATTTTATATCGAACAGTTTTATTGCCAAGATTAAAAAATGGAGTATTTAAAATTGTGGATTAAAAAATATTTTATTTAAATTTTATTTACTATTTTTATTTTTTTTGTTTGAAAAAAACAAAAATAAAAGAATTAAAAAATTTTAACAAAAAGGGATAAAATAATTAAAATAAAATACAGAAAGAGAAACATTGGGATTTGACAGATTTTTATTTTTTTAGAAAAGTTTTTGTGCGCGTAAATTGATAGAAATTCGAGGGATTATTATTTGGCCATAAAAAGGGAAATTTTTATTTTCGAGATAGGTAATTTTGTTGAAAAATAGAGGAAAGGGAAAATTATTATTTTTGAGAGAGAGATTGGTTTTTTTCTATTTTTAATTTTCTACATTAGGATTTCATAAGATACAACCTTAGCGATGAAAAATATTACCTCATAAATGAGATATCTTAAAAAGGGTAATCCGCCTTAGTGATGCACTTTGAAATGGATATGTAGTAGATATCTCTCCCCGAATCCTAAATTGATGAGCATATACCTATTATAGTAGTGGAGGTATCTTATAATGAGGTTCAATTGTATACTAAACGGGGAAAATTTTTTGGCGTGTTAATTTCGGAGAATCAAAAAATTTTAAGACGTCAAAAAATTTTTTTCCTTTTTTTGAAAAAAATTTTTTTACAAAAAAATGCTCAATTTCCACGAATTTTGGGGACGGGGAACAACCCTTATTTAATTATATTTTTGTTTAAAATAAAAGAATTTTAAAAAATAATTAAAAAATGATTCATTTCTTCCTAATCTCTGATGATTATAAATACACACAAAAATATATCTAAAGAACCACTTTAAAAACATAAATAACTTTCAAGTTTATTTATTAAAATAAAAACAAGCTAAAATATAAGTAAATAAATACTTCTCAGGTTCATTTTAAGTGATTTTTCTTTTTTTTTTAATTTTTCTTTTTGGGAACTACTTAATAAATAATTTTTTGTTTTTTGCAATTTCTTAAGCATTTCTATCCAAATTGCCAATTTATTTCCTCCTTTTCATTTTTGCTTCTTTAAATATCACATTATTTGCTAATTCAACCTATTAACTACTTAATATATATTATTTTGTTTTTGTTTTTATTTGAAGAAACAAAATAAGTAAATAAATAAGCAGAAAAACAAACAACAAGAATATTCTACTCGATAAAATAAATAATTCTTTTAATGCTAAATGGAATGTTTTTGGCACAGCTATGGATGTGAAGTGATTGATGTAGTTGATTTTATTTCTAATTATAATTGGAAGATACTAGAACACAGAAAAAGTGATTAGACAGACAACTGAGAATTAAATTAATTTTTTCGTTATTTTATCGGATAAAATTTTTAATTTTATTTTGGTTCTTGGATTGACAATAGTGAATATAGGTTCTAGATTTAGAACCTCAATACAAAGTAAAAATGCCGCTGAAATTTTGGCTCTATTATACCATATACGTCCAATCAAAGTTTATGCGTCCAAATAAATTTTTATACGTCCAGTAAAAATTTTTCGATATACACCAGAAACCTGTACCTATCTCTTTTTCGCACTACAAACCTTGTGTGTAGCTTGAAGGTTCACTACGGAGTTCTTATCTAGCAAAGTATTTTGTGGCGTCATTGAAGCTTTTTAGTCTCACAATTTTCATCATTTTTCGAAGAGACTCGTCAACACAGAAATATCTATCAAAAGGATTTTTTCCAATTTTTTTCAATTATCCTTTTTAAAACTAGCACGAGTGTACTTTTTGTGAAAGTCATCAATTTATTTTATTTACTAGAAAATTATGATCTCATCAACATTTCTCTCTTTTTTTGCATTTATTAGCTATTAGTTTTTCTAGTCAAACCACGTG